GGCTAGAGCTAGTTAAATTATTCATTAAAGCATGAGTAAGGATAAAGATATTTTTAGAAAATTAAAATGTAGGTCTTAAAATTACTAAGAGTTGATCATGATTGAGTTTTATTCTAGATATGAAGGCATAAATTTTAATTGTAAATCATGACACTAGTAAATTGTACTGGAATTACTTGACAAACGAGTTTGTAAATTGATTCATTCTATAAACTTATAAATTAGGGGGAGGGGGCGTTCACTTATTACGTAACGCTTTTAGGGGTGAGGGGGTCTTAGATTTTGTTCCGGATCAAAGACGTAATAAGGGAACGGCCCCTAGATTAATAACTGAATTAATAATTTAAAGTAAAAACTTTTATTTTTAAACTTTGCTAGTTTTGTTCTGAGTTTGAGTATCAGTTAAAGAGTTTAAACACCCTGAAGGAACCCCCTTAACTCCTCCCCAGGTTGTACTGGAATTCATCGATAAACGCTTTACACCAAAAAGTCTATAAATCGCTCGTCTTATGACTCTCATTCGATAAGCATAAATTAGTGGATTAATAACAGAATTAAGATGCAATAAACTGATTGAAAGTTTAAAGACCCAGAATGGGAAAAGATGAATGTTCATAATTGACAATAAGTGCAAAATTTGATGAGGAATCCAAGTTATGGAGAAGATTAATACAATTATTGCAATGCTGATTGTAGCTCTGATTTCTTTATCGATTCCTTTTTGATTACTAGGTTCGCATGGATTGTAATCTTTGTTTCTGTCGACTTTCTTTTGTGCCTGAAATGTAGTTCAATTAGAATCGACTTTAACCGTGAATTAAAGATCATACTTGTTCAGCTATCAGTCTGTATATGTTAGTATACACATATATCATGACGATTAAAGGAACAACAAACACATAAATAAACCGAAAAATTATAAATCCCATTTCTAAAATGTCATTGTAATTGCATGTATTAGATTCTTTCTTGTAAAATAGAAATGGTGCAAATCCTGCTAATACTGAGATAATCCAACAAGTTGCGATTTCCATCATGACGTATTTCTTTGGTCTCATCTTTTGCCTTTGACCTTTTGACTGTAAGACAATAAATAGTTTAAAATGTTTGTCGTAATTCTCGCTACTTACTAAGACTGTTAAGCGCTTGATCGATATCAGAACTAAATTATAAACAGAAGTATTTGACAATGTCAAGAAGATTGACAGGTTTGTTAGACAAAGATTCAAATTGCATAAAGTTATCATAATTGGATGATTGACAGTGATCTGAAATTCAAAAGCTGTTACTTTATCAAAGATCATTCAACTCAGTGAGAATCTAAAGCTGTTATGACTCAAAACTATTTTTAAGCATGAATTTATGACATCATGATGAGATTTTAATCAGTTTTGTAAATGTATTAAGTTCTCTTGTATCCTTAGAAACTTGATTATCTCTAAAACTAGTTGTGAGGGTTCCCCTAGCGAGACTAACTAGCAAATTGCTAGTCTTTCTATTTTACTACTTGCAATTTACTAGTTATTATTAAAACAACTTACTATTAGTAAATTACACTTACTATTTAATAGCAAATTACTAGCAAATTTCCATGAGAAATGTTTGATCAAATCTTCTTAAGTTCGAATCCTACGAAAAATCATCAAAAAAAGAAATTTTTGCATCATAAAAAATTTCGTTCTAAATTTGGCATTTGCCATATACTTCACAAGAGCGCGCAGAAATCACCTTTATAAGGTCGATCCAAATTTGTATAAGACATTCAATTTAATTATTTATCTTCCTCAGGTTTGCGTGCGAGTCATAAGCGTTCATCAGTGTTTGACTTAATTAAATTAAGTCTTTTATTTTTTTTCGTAGTATTAGTGTACTTTAATTAATTAAACTAAGTACACACTAATACTTTTACAATAATTTACACAAAAAAAAAATCAAAAAAACACGTGGAAATCAACGGTTATATTCATTTAAATTTTTTACAAATTTGCCAGTAAATTACTACACTCATAGAAAAAAAGTAACCATAATATTTGTTATATGTTTGTTAAACTAGTTTAACAAATTATTGGTTAAGTTTACATGGGTAAAAAAAATTTCAACCAAACTATTTGTTAAAAATTTTACAATTGAGTTTGTTAAATCAACAAATTTATTTGTTAATAATTGATTTAATTAAATTTTAATTTTTGTATTCAAAACTCTTGTTTGATTAATTTCAAACGATTCCCATTAATTTATTGCGTTATTTTTAATGAGAAAACTGCTTTAAATTGAATTTTGTTGATTTTGTTTAACAAATTAATTTGTTAATTTTAACAAAACATTTGTTACAATGTTTTTATTTGTAATTTGTTTTGGAAAATAATGATTTACAAACCAAATCGTAATTTAAAAATTAAATTTGTTCATTTTTTTAAGTCCTACATTTCTATTTTATTATTCATAAATTAATTTTAAAATTTGGATATATTTTTTAAAGAATTATTTATATTGGTTCTGAATCAAATTTTATAAGTAAAAGTTTACAAGCAGCGGACTAGCGGATCATCAACAGGAATTCAGAAGTTAAGCAACCACGGAAACATTTTAAAATAAGATGGGTGACCAAATTAACAATTTTCTGGTTAATATTAACCGAAAATTTGTTATTTTTTTCTGTAAAAAAAAATTTTAACAAAAAGTTTGTTAAATTAACAATTTTTATAGTTAACAATTCAACCTTACAAATAATTTGGTTAAATTTAACAAATAAGTTCGTAAACACTATTTTAACGAATTGTTTGTTAACATTTTCCATACAAGTTACAAACATTTTGTTACTTTTTTTCTATGAGTGTAGTTAAATTGTAAGCGAATTGACTAGTCAATTAGCAAGTGAAAATGCGGGTCTTTGGCGATGATTTGAACTTGGATTTTGACTAGTAAATAGCAAGTAGCAAATGGAAAGTTATCCAGTAAATTACTAGGAAATTACTAGTAGGGCAAGATCAGAAAAAAAGGGAATAAATATTCAAATTCAGATTTCTCTGCTTTTAATAACTTAATTAATATGATTCCTTCACTACATGATAGCTAATAATAGTAAGTTTCTTTTTAACATTCATTTTTCAAAATGGCGACTTATTAAGTTAGTTTAATTAACAAATTAATATTTGAAATCGATTTTTCTTTGAAAAGAAAGCAAGATGAATGTTTGGAAGCTTGACAAAAGTTGTAGAGCTTGCTTTTTTCTATCATATGATCAAAATAGATTTTATTAAAAATGAGTTATTTTAGTTAAATTAACTGAAAACCAAATTGAATGTAAAATGTATTTTTAAATCAAAACTATTAACCTTAATCGGTCAAGAACAATTACTTGATATCTAAAGAGTCTTTTACTATTTAATTTACATTCGAAAAAGGCTTAAAAGTAAGTTAAATTAACTATAAAAACAATGAAATTTAAGTTGAGCAACAAATTTTGCTCTTATTTGCTCACAAATTTATAATTTTAAAAACCGTTACAAAATTTTTGGTCAAATTTTTTACTATAATTTAATTTTCTCTGCTTGTCTTGAACAAAAAGTAATATTTCTTTTGCAATATGATAAACATTGTTAAATTCTTTAGTTTGAAATGAAAAAATCAGTAGACGAATAACACAGCAATGACTTATGACTAGTTTTGTAAAACTCATCATAACTTGGTTAATTATAGTAGAATTGAAAATTTTCTCTCACAAACTTAAAGAAAATTACATATGTAACCTTTTTTTGTAAAGAAAGATAGTTCCTAAACTATTTCCTTCATATCAAAATTTCAGCTTCAACATTTTAAAGCTGAATTAAGCTAACTTACAAATGCGCCATTTTGTATATTTTAGACAAAACTTTTAATGATCTGATTATTTAATTATCTGGTGAAAAAATCGTTATGATTAATGAAGTATTCGCAGAGATATTACATTTGCAACATGGTGTAAAATCGAATTTCCTCAAAATTGTTCGTGACGCTTAGCACTTTAAATTAATTTTTAATTATAATACAATGTCTAAGAGATACTTGTTATGCACCAAAATATAGGTCTTGGCAAGGACTTTAAGAAAAACACAAGTCTTAAATACATATTTCGCATTATTGATTCAAAAATTGTAAATTATTGTTAAGCGTCACGAACAATTCATTTTTGATCTTGCCCAGTAAATTTCTGCTAGGGTTCGGAACTGATCAATCATGTTTTGATCAGTTCTGGATCCTTTGCTAATACTAAAGGAAGACTGAATAGTTGTATGATAAGGGGCAAACAACTATGATTATTAAAATCTCAAATGAACGTTAGTTTAAGAGTCAGAACCAGAGCTCGAAGTCGACTCGAGTTGACTCGATTGAGACCCTATCGACTTCAAACTATGGTCAGAACAAGAACTCTAGTCAATAGTGAACTTTAGTTCAAATATCAAATTACCACATATAATGGCCCAGCTATAAAACCATTACAAAAGTCACTGAATGCTAGAGATATGATGTAATAATTTATTTCACGTCTTAATTTCCTCTCTCGACAAAAGACTATAAAAACCAGTAGATTTCCGAAAATGGAAAAGAATGCAACAATCAGCTCTAATACAGCATGTGCAATTTCAAAATTTGACAATTTTTGGATTTCAAAATATCCAAAAAGAGGACAAGTCGAATTAGCGTCTTCAAAATTGCACATTTTAACGCTTTGAATTAAGAAATGAAACTGAAAATAGGATGAATTATAATAATTTGTTACAAATCAACGTCGCATTTCAGTAGCTTCTAAATAATTTGATAATAGGTCATTCACTTTTCCATGGGTAGAGGGGGAGTTGGCGGGTTGAACTTTCAAGATATTTTAAGCAACTTATATCATTAAGGAATTAAAATGTTCTGAGATCGAATTTGAAAATTAAAATTTGTTATGAACTTGCAGACTGAACTCTAATGTGACTCTAATATGTTTCAGTTTAATGTGTTTCTGAATAATAAATCTATTTATAATATTACTGAGCGATACCATGACTTTATTTGAGCATCAATTTTACAATTTTTATGATATAAAAAAATTAGTCATTACAAAGCATTCGTTCTTTAAACTTGTGTTTTCAAATAATCCAATATTTGCTGCCAAATGGAACTCCATGGACAAGATGTTCCACACTTTACCGGAGCATCCATTGCTGACGTCCAATTAGCATAACAATTTTGAATGTTATTAGCCATTGAAGTTCGACAATTTGATCTACTGATACTTGATGTCTGTGCAGAATTTACTAAAAAACAATCTAAAAGATAGACAGCATAACCATCTCTTAAATTTTCTGGTCGAGAATCCAAAAAGTCGCAAATGTCTGGTTTGATTGCATGAACTGGATTTCTTTCTAGGAAAATGAATAATTGTATAGACAGGGCTGTTCCTGTGAAATCAAGCAAAGGAACATATTTTATCTTATTATTTGATAAATTAATGTAACCCATCCTTGGAAGATTTCTAAATAAATTTCTATCAAGTGCATTGACGGTATTGTTTTCCATGAAAAGTGATCCTATATTTGGAACAGTTCTAAATAATTCAGGTGGCAAACACGAAATCTTATTGTGCCTCATATTTATTTCCCTTAAGTTTACTAAACCTTTAAAGGCATTTTTATCAATTGTTTCAACTCCCGCATTAATTAGCTGTACACCTGTGAGTTGCGTGCATGTTTGAGCAAATCCTTCAGGCACATGTACAACCTTTGCATCATGAATGCACAATCCATCTAAGGAATTACAATTAGTAAATGCGTTTGTTACTAATGTTAATCTTGAAGAAGAACTTCCTGTGGCAAAGTACAGCAGATAAGGAAATACACTAAATAATCTTGTTGGAATATAATTGATGTTAGGTTTCGTTTTATAAAAATTCAGTTGCTTTGTTCCAGTATTGACATAATTAGATGGTTTTCCAGAAACAGTAATGGCTTCATTCTGTTGAGTAACTTGTGTAATAGCTGGGCTGTTGCATTCATCTCCATTCCATTGACAAACAAGCTCAGCTGAATGAACTAATGATGTCATAAAGATCATTGAGAATGCAAAGGATCTGTGTATAAATTCAATGAAAGCTTTTTATTAATCCACGTACTCAAATTCTATACTTACAATATATTCCGCATTATTCGCAATTTTTATACCTCTTCCTTCTTAAACTTTCAATTGAAAACTGACACGAATTAAAAAATACTATGAAAGTTTTAAGGAACAGAAATATCAGTTGACAAGTGTGATTGAACAGCAGGAAAATAAGTTATTGTATATGAAGATGTGATATTAAATCATATGAAAGAAGTGCTTCTTTGTTTTTATTTAACTTCGAGTTGTTGACTCTGGAATGTTTAAACATCTAGACTCATTCTAAGTTATAAACCTTTAAAAAATCTTAAGATCTTAATTGAAGACGTCATTAGCAAACGACCCTACTTTTAATTCTAACAAAATTTATTGCAAACAATTTCAAAAATGCTGTATAAATATTTTTCTCAATTTCAACTACGAAAACATTTGAAAGGAACTAATTAAAATGATCAAAATTCTTCGATTCAATAAATGAGTAATAATAACATTGAGTTGATATCCTGAATAGCACATGTCGGATAATCGAGCAGAAATCCTACTTCAGGACCACATCCTTGCGAGTTCGGGATATCAACTCAAATTTATTTTTACTACAAATTTACATCAAAATTAACAACTTAACCAGTACTTGAAAGTGATGTTAAATAATTTCGATTAAAAAGTCTGACAATTGCAATTCTAATATCCTTCATTCGATAAGCATAAAGTAGTGGATTGATTGCAGAATTAAAATGAATAACTCCAATGAAAAATGCAACTGTGGAAGGCTTGATACAATCCTCACAGAAAACTGACACAAGGTACGAGATCTGAAGGGGTATCCATGTGATCCAAAACATCAGAATAATCAATGAAATGCTGATTGTTGCTCGAATCTCTTTTTTTAACAACTTTTGATCAAATTTTTCGCATGCGACTCTGTTTTGTTGTCGTTCTGCCTGTTTTCTTGACTATAAAATGAGATAAACAACAAAATAGATAAAGATACTCATTCACAAACATTAATGCAGTCATTTAGAAATGATGAATAAGTTTTGAGAATTCAAATGATAAATTGTGATTCAGAACTTGTCAAAAGTTGAGTCTAGACAAATATTTAATGCTATTTAACTCTCTAAAACTTTCTGATAGATGATTTTAGCTGTCGATATGTTAATTTTAATGCTTTAATCTTAAATCCTAACCAAACTTACCTGGATCTTGATAATTTTATAAATTTTGATATAAACAACTCCAATAACCAATGAAGGAATCAGCACAACAATTGTGAATCTAAAGATAATGTAATTTTCAGACAAGACTTCAGTCAGAATGCAATTTTCGGTGCTGCTTTTGTTATTCCAGAAAATTGGAAGAAAACCAATGAGAATCCCGAACATCCAGCAAATGGAGATTTCTCTCGCGATGTTTTTAGTTGATTCAAGTTTTTGTCTCGTTGGATTTACTATCTGAAATTATATGAGTTAAGTTTTTATGATTTATCGCTTGTTTGTTATTCTACAAGGATGAGATGCTAAAACATTACCAAAGAAGTAAATCGTTTAATCGATATCAAGACCAAGCTGAAGATTGACACATTTGAGAATGTTAAAAGGAATGAAATTGGTGCCAAGCACAAGATATCAGGACAAACTTCATTTGGGATCTTTGTGATGATCTAAAATTAAACAATAATTCCAGCACTGAATATTCAAAAGATTCTCAAAGTTACCACAAATATGCCAAATGGAATTCCAATCAATCCAACTCCAAAATCAGCAATTGCCAGAGATATGATGTAAAAATTGATTTTACGCCTTAATTTCCCTTCTCGAAAGAACACAATGAAGACTAAAATGTTTCCAACAACTGCAAATATGGCATTGATCAGTTCCAATACTACAAATACAATCGTTTTGCTTTTCCAATTAATATTGTCAATTATCTCAGCAAGATCGCATATTTGATTCTCTGCCATTGCTGTAACAAAAAGTACTAGAACTGTTTTACGATTGATATTAAGGCTGCAATGAATCAAGTTAGTCAGATTTTCTTTAAACATTAATTTAATAGTCATAAAGACCGAGCATCACATTACTCATACTCATTACTCATCGTTTGGTTTTTTATTATTTTTATAGTGCGTCCTTGAAAAGACAGAGAATATTTGATTCAGAGACTAAATTTTTGAAAAGAGTCAATCCATCCAATGCTCAATATTCAATCAATTTCGGACTTTATTAATAAATCAATTCAATACAATAGCAATAAAATTAATCATCAATTCAAGTTTGACAACATGCATGATAGACACAAACAACTTTAAAGTTTTATTTTTAATAGACTAAAATAGTGTTGCCCAATAGACTCTGTGAACATGCTGGTGCACATGTTACGGATGTAGACATTGTTGATGTCCAATTGGAATAGCATTTTTGAAGAGGAATTGCCATTGAACCTTGACAATTTGATTTCGTTATCGTTACCGTTGTAGGATCACCTGAAAGACACCTAACATATTGAACATCAAAGATGTCCTCAAAAGCTGATCTTGAATTGAAAGTGTTACAAAAATCAGGTTTTATGGCATAAATTGGATTTTCAGATATTAAAAAGGAAAAAAATTGAGACTGAGCTGTTCCTGTAAAGTCAAGTGTTGGCAAATAAGAAATTGAATTAAATTTCATATCAATCATGTTCAGTTGTGGTAAGTTTCTGAACAAGCCACTATCGATTGCAAATATCCTGTTATTTCGTAGCTCAAGAGTCTTTAAATTTGGAACCGTTTGAAACAAGTCAGGTGGTAAGCAATTAATTCTATTGTACAGCATTAACAAATTTTCGACACTAATCAATCCTTTAAATGCATTCTTGTCTATTGAATCAATTCCAGCCATATTAAATTGAAGTTTAACAATTTTCGAACATGTTTGAGCAAATCCTTCAGGAACATTCAAAATGTTTATGCCAATAAACGACAAAGCTGTCAAATAATCACAATTTACTATAGAATTTGTCTCTAAAGTTGTTTTTGGTGAAGAACTAGCCATTACAAAACCAATGACTTTTGGAAAAACTGTAAATAACTTCGTCGGAATGTAATTCATGTTAAATCTCGTCATGTAGAAGGAAAAATAATTTGGAGCAGTGTTAATGTAATTTGTAGGTTTTCCAGCAATTGTAATGGCTTCATTTGGCTGTGTTACTGGTGATATTCTAGATAATATGCATACTTCTCCATCCCATTCGCATGTAAGTTCAGCAGAATCAGCTAATGATGCTAATAAGATCATCAGCCACAAAAATAAACTGTTGAACAAAAATAAAATTTTTCAGTTCGACATTTAAAATGTTAAGATCAGTGTTTCTCAAACTTTTTAGGCCTTGCAGCAGTAAATCATCTGTTTATCATTTCGCACCACGCTGGCAACTACTTTTGACACATGTGGAACAGAAATGCTCCACGGACCATAGTTTGAGAAACACTGGGATGGGTTAGAATTAATGAGAGAAAAAAGGTCTTAATCAACATCTTAACATAAAGGAGAGAATTCAGTTCTTTAAATGCTAGTGCAATAAGACAAATCGTAGCGTTTACTCTAAATTTGGATGAGTCACGTCTTGAAATTTCATACTCACAATTTCTTCTGCATGTTTCTCACCTCTTTCTCCTTAAGCATTTGGTTGAAGACTGATACGACGTAAAATTGTTTTGATAACAATAAGGAACAACAATGTCAGCAAAATATCTGTAATTGAACAGCAGTTAGAAAGATATAGACGGAGATATATTTGAAGCATACGTGGAAATTTGATTTTAGTGCGCATTATTTTAAAGGAAAACGTCGTTCCTAAATGACGTCTATAAAGCTATACTTATTGATTTGATACACTAGACATCAGAACTATATATTATGATTTTTTGTTGTTATAGATTGCTTCTTTCTCACTCTGCTGTGTTACATCATGTAACTTACATGACCCAGATTATGTTATTATTATTTATTTGTCGACGTTACCGTCCGGAAGAATTAGTTTTTATACATGTTTTACTTTTTACATTGATTAGTGATACATTTCATATCACTATGGGTGACGAGCTTCAAGCTTCTAATCTTCAAATCTAGGTTTCGATTAAATTCAGGCTCTCGTTTCAATCTGTGGGCGTGACGTGATACATTTCAGGTCCGTTCTGACAATATTCCATTCGTGGGTAATCTTGTAGCTCTCGTTCCTAATTCTCCCGCTACACTTCAAGTTCCTGATCCGTTTCCTTAATCCAACGTTGTCCAAAATGCCCAATTATGGCTTGATCTCGTACATTAAGCAGTCGATATATCTAAACTTCTGAAAAAGAACAAATTTGGAAATGGCTGGATTCGAACCGACGACCTTCGAGTTACCATACCAAATTTGAGCCAAGCGCCTTACCTATTCGACCAGCAAGGCACTTAACTGCCTGTTTTTGTATGTATTTCAATGCAATGACTTTCTGGAAGTTGAAATTATTAAGCATATTGTACTTTTTGCAAAGCTTTATTTCAGTTTTAATTTTTACAATTTCAATAGGTCAAACACTATCGTATCTAATCCTTAATTCAATTGCTATTAAACATTTAAAAAAAAATCATCATAAAAGCATGCCTGACATGAAGTGTCATTGGAAGTTTTCTGGTTCTTCTAAAATTTGATATTTAAAAAATCCAAAAGTTGCTGCCAAATTGAACTCAAAGGACATGGCTCACATTGGACCGGGAAATTCATTAACAAAGTCCAATTGGAATAACACTTCTGGAGAGGAATTGCCATTGAGCTCTGACAATTTGATTTCTTTATTATTGCTGTTGTTGAATCACCTGTAAGGCACTTAGTATCAGGAACATAAAAGATTTGCTCATAGACTTCATTTAGTCTGGCATTAAAAGTATTACAAAAGTCAGGTTTTATGGCATAAATTGGATTTGCAGAAAGGATAATTGCGAAAGCACTAAATGGATGAGCTTTACAAGAACTTGTAAAATCAAGTGTTGGCAAGACAGAAATCGAATTGTTGTTCAAATTGATATAACGCACTTTTGGAAGGTTTCTAAATAGTCCACTATCAATTGCCGCAATCCTGTTGTGTTGTAAATCAACAAGCTCAACATTTGGAATCGTTTGAAATAAATCAGGAGGCAAGCAAGTTATCCTGTTCTTTTGCATAAGCAAAGTTGTCACATTAACTAATCCTTTAAATGCATTTTTATGGATTGTGTCAATTCCAGCACTAAAAAATTGAAGATTATTAATGTTCGTGCATGCTTGAGCAAATCCTTCAGGAATATTTGAAATGTTCATAACCACAAACAGCAAAATATTCATAAAATTACAATTAACTATTGAATTAGTCTCTAAAATTGTTTTTGGTGAAGCACTAGACATTACAAAAGTATTAACAAATGGAAAGGTATAAAGGACTTTCGTAGGAAAATAATTCAAATTAAGTCCTGGTTTGTAAAAATTCAAATCAATTGTAGCAGAATTTATATAATTTGCAAGTTTCCCAGCAATTGTTATAGCTTCATTAGGTTGAGTTACTGGTGTGATGCTGGATATGGTGCATGTCTCTCCATTCCATTCGCATGTTAGCTCAGCTGAATTAGATAATGATGCTATTAAGATCATTGACAGAAAGAATAATCTGATGGAAAATTAAGAAAAGATATAAGTTATAAAGTTTATACTTCTTGATAGAATCTCAGCTTAATGTTCGGACAGACAAATTGTACAAAATAGGTGACAAAGCCAGCAACAAATTCAGATGAAAATCCTTTTGTGTTAACCTTTGATCCATACAGGAACCAAGGGTGTGGAACTGATAAATTAAATGTTGATCATTTTTTGATCAATTCATCAGTACCAAACTTTTGACAGGAACATGGTTAGTAATAATAATAATAATAATAATGTGTGAAGGGCCCAGCCTTTCAGCTGGAGGCACTGCGATTCAAATTAGAACAGAATCTATTGTACCACACCCTTTAGACCTACAGTTTATAGTGGGATCCGAACCACTTGCAAGCTCTGTACATTGCAAAGACACGAGTACGTCATAAGACCTGATGTACCCTGCAATGAACCTAGTCACAATTCGTGTGCGCAAGATGCCGTAAAGAAGTCATCCAGATGCTAGTATATCCTTATATACCTAGCAAAGGAGGCAGATTCTGTGCCAAAGACCTTAAAACTACACCCAACACACGAACCGAGCTTCGTAACTAGAACGGTGAAGTGGAAAAAGAGCTTTGAAAATTAGATATGGCCTGGGATTGAACCCAGGACCTTTGACACAGAAGGCCAACGCTCTACCATTTAGGTCACTGATGCCATTTCACCAGGAACATGGTTACAGTAAGTAAGACTATACTTCTTCCTGGTACTCAAAATAACAAACTCCAACTTTTGCTTTAAATTGAAATGAGACACCACGTCTTAATATTTCATACTCACAGCTTTTTTGACATTTCTCGCACTTCCTTCTTCTTAAACTTTCAATTGACGACTGAAATTACTTAAAATGTTTTCTCAATTTTAAGGAACTTAAAAGATCTGTAATTGTACAGCAGTAAAAAAACACAAAAGATTAGAAACATTTTAAACATTCGTGGAAAAATATATTTTTTGCGCTTTATTTAAAGTAATTCCGGGTTATTTTTTCAAAACAGGAGGTGTTTAAATGCCTAGATTACTGCCTCTAATACGCTACTGAGTAAACCGTTCACTATGTTATTCCCCAAATTTTTAAAAAGAAGTCATTCACTATATCAATTAAAGCGTTCATAAACGTAAGAAAATTTATCTACGGTAATATATAATATTTGGCATTTTAGAGTACCTCATTTGTTCTGTCTTCACATTTGATACAGATACTTACTGACTCTATTTTTTTCAGATTTAACATAAATTTTGAATGACCCTAGTCGAGATGACTTGCTTTCAATAAAGTCCACAAATAAAATAAAAATAATTTTGGAAAACCATTGATGTCAACCAAAGAATAAGGCTTTATTTAGACAAAAAATTAACAATTGTTAAGGGGTCGTTCACTTATTACGTCCGAATTTACCGGTCATTTTTCATAAAAGAACAATGGATTTGCTTGCTAACCCCCCCCCCCCCCTGGACGTCATAAGTGAACGGCCCCTAATGTTACACTTAATAATATTTCTAATTTTAAACTTGTGTTTTCAAATAATCCAAAATTTGCTGCCAAATAGAACTCCATGGACAAGATGTTCCACACTTAACAGGCGCGTCCATTGCAGAAGTCCAATTAGCATAACAGTTTTTAAGATCTTTTGTAATTAATGCAGTTCGGCAATTTGATCTCTGAATGACTGGTTCCTTTGCAGTATTGTACTTAAAGCAATTAATGTTAATTACGACCAATATATCATCAAAATTTGCTGGCCGAGAGTCAAAAAAATTACAAACGTCTGGCTTGAATGCACGAATTGGATTATCAGACACAGAAATTATAAGCCTTTCATACTGAGCTGTTCCTGTTAAGTCCAGTGATGGCAAAAACGTTAGTGAATTTTCCATAAAATTAATGGCAATCAGCTTTGGAAGGTTTCTGAATAAACTGCTGTCCAGCGCACTGATCCTGTTGCCATAAAAATAAATAAATTTTATATTCGGAACTGTCATAAATAATTCAGGAGGTAGACACGAAATTTGATTGTAACTCATTATCAGTTCAACTAAATTTGTCAAACCTTTAAAGGCATTTTTATCAACGGTTTCGATTCCTGAATTCGTTATTAGTAATGTACAGGGACATTCGAAATTTTTGCACCGTAAATAGACAATTTATTTAAGGAATTACAATTAGCAAATGCATTTGTTACTAAAGTTAATTTTGAAGACGAACTTTTTGTGGTAAATGTGGTTACACCTTGAAAAATGGTAAAAAGTCTCGTTGGGATATAACTAAGACTTGGATTTAAATGATCAAGGTGAAGATATCGTGTTGCAGTATTGACATAATTAGATGGTTTCCCAATAACAATAATAGCTTCATTTGGCTGAGTTATCGGCGATATGCTAGTTGGCGAACAGCTTTCTCCAAACCATTCACATCCAATCTCAGCTGAATCAGCTAATGATGCTAATAAGATCATCGACAAGTAAAACAATCTGTTGAGAAATTTGAATAAAATTCAGAGACTCCTTCCTGAGCCACGTCTTTAAATTCCATACTTACAAATTTTTCCACATTTTTTTGCACTTCTTTCTTCTCAAACTTTCAGTTGTAGACTTACGCGGCAAAAAATAAATAATTTGTCAACTTTAAGGAACTGAAATATCAACTAAAAAGATCTGTAATTGAACAGCAGGGGAAAAGATACAAGTGCAGAAATATTTGCTTAATCAAGCTTGCAAGGAATAATTCATAGCTCAAAGCTTGCCGAACATGTCTTAATAAAGCATAGAAAGCTAATTTATGATTATGATTAGAATAGTGTTACTAGGTTGAATTGATGATTCAATTGCTAAAGTCTTCAGATGTCTTTGTTTTGTACTGGGGGTCCTCGATTTGAGTATTTTTATAATTTTCTGTACATTTTACCTCGTTTCTTAACTTTTCTTTTGGGGGTTTTTCACCCCCTCCCCCCCTTGTAACAATATGTTGCAACACACAACCCCCCCCCGCTGAACGTTCATAATTTATTTTATTTTGAAAATTTTTTTCATGAATTTTTTTTTAAAAGACAGACGACACCACCCCCCCCCCCCCCCCCCTATGTTACATTTTGTGTTACAATTTTTCAAACTCCCCCCCCCCCCCCCCTTTTTGGTGGGTAAAAATATTTCCATTCAAATCGAATCTACTCAAATCGAGGAGACCCATTAATTGTAATTTAATTAAATCATACCAAACGATTTTATTGTAATAAACGATGATTATTGTTCGGATTTTGTGGGGAAAAGGGGGAAAAGGGAAAACAACTATGTTATAAATAAATACAATTTAAATTTCAAATGAACGTTATGAAACTTTGAGACAACTGTTAAAAGTAATAAATCATCACTGTATGACATTATTTGATCCAGGATAACTTGATTCATCTCCTGAACTTCTATCAATTCCGAATAGCCTATAAATTGCCTTCCTTATGTCCCTCATTCGAAAAGCATAAATTATTGGATTGATTGCCGAATTGAGCAGCAATAAGGACATAACTATGTGTACAACAAAAGGCGGAATGCAGCCTGAGTAGTAAATGGACACGACGTATAAGATTTGTGATGGAACCCATGTCAAGCAAAAGACTATGACAATAATAGCAATACTAATTGTTGCTCTAATCTCCTTGTCCATAGTTCCATTACTTTTTGGCTCTGAAGGATTCAAAGACTTTAAGCATTTTAGTTTATTTTCTGCTTGCTTCATTATAACCCTGCCTATATTAAAATAAACATATCCCATGATTACTACAGGCACAATGGTAGCAATGACAAATCTGAAAATGATAAATTCCATTTTTAAAATATTTCGTAATTGACATTTGTCAGGATTATTGTTATTTAAATAGAGCGGTGCTGTTCCTATCGCAGTTGAAAACATCCAGGCACATAAAATTTGAATAAAGATTTTCTTGGTTGATTCCTGCTGAACACTTGGGCGTTGTACTGACTAAAAACATTAAATAGAATAAATTTATAAATCTATACAAAGGATAGGATCACTTACTAAGACTTTTAAACGCTTAATTGATATCAGAACTAAGTTGAACATTGAAACATTCGACAATGTCATGAGAACAGCCATTTTAAATAAACAAAACTTAATATGACATGTTTCTGTTGCGTCTGGTGGGTCTATTTTATACTGGAAAAGATTGAAAGTATTTTCAATGATTTTATAAGACAGCAAGCTTTTCACTTCAATTACCAAATACAACGGAATCGATACAAGTCCAACACACAAGTCACCAAATGAAAGCGAAATTATATAAAAATTAATTTCCCGTCTCAAACTTTTTTCACGTAAGAAAGCAGTTAAAACAATGAGGTTTCCAATCACAGTTAAGATGGCAACAAATGTTTCGAATGTAGCAAAAGATGCTCCAAATAATGTCCAATCATCTTTTTCTGTTAAAAATTTACAAAATTCTAGACACGAACTGTTATTCGCCATTGTAAAGCATAGACAATTTACAATTTATGCGACCAAAAAATGAACTGGCAAAATGGGATAATTTATGACATTTTTCTAAATAAAATTAATCACAACAGATTATGACCCAGCATGTACAATACTTACTTACTTGCCAATTTCCTATACCATGCTGGGTTTAGAGTAGCTGTACTGTACATGGATTTCCACGTGCTCTTTTTTCAATCCATGTACAGTACAGCTACTCTAAACCCAATAACACCAACCCCCCCCCCCCCCCCACCCTTTTCATTTTACCTCCAATATCCTCATTCTTTTCTTTATAACAAACCATTGATTTTAAGGAAGATAAAAAAAAATTGGCGGTAGCCACTGCTCGGAGTATACGAAAGTCTGGAATAAATCACTGGATGAGTAATTGCTAATTTAAAAACATTCCAAATTATATAAATTTGCTGACTCATGAGCATCACATAAAGTTTTTATTATATTCACACCGTTTTCACGTGTGAATCTATTGGTTTTGTTCAGATTGAAAAATCAGTTTTTCGCATTTTGTGAGAAAACAAAGCAAAATTGGTTATAAAAGGTCACAGAAAAAAAGTTTGTGCCTGAAATTTTACATCATTTTCAAAAAACAGATTTCAAATTGGTTGTGGCATTGCTGAGAAAATCGCAAAATACGCTTTCTGTAAGCAAACAAGCAAGCAAGTTAATCAGCAAGAAATCTCAATAACGAGACATTGTAGAGACTTCTAGTTTTTTACATTTGATCCGTGCTGCTCTATAGAAGATCTGTACTGTTTTTGGGCAAGGTAGGAACAGCCGTTGCTTCAGAAAAAGCAAAATATTTTCTTTCTTACGAATTTTTCAAATTAAAAGTTCACTGTGATTTTTTTCCTCGAAGAAAAAAGTGACAAAATTGATTTTGACCAGGGTCGCCCCTAGTCCAAAATTGAAAATGTATTTCCTATTTGGTTCTTTGCTCAAAAAAATTTTAGGATGTTTTATTTGTATTTGTTTTAAGCACTAGAATATTTATGCAAAGTTTCAATCCATTTGGATAAACCCTCGAAGAAAAAAGTGACAAAATTGATTATGACTAGGGTCGCCCCTAGTCCAAAATTAAAAATGTATTTCCTGCTTGGATCTTTGCTCAAAAAAATTTTAGGATGTTTTATTTGTATTTGTTTTAAGCACTAGAATATTTATGCAAAATTTCAATCCATTTGGATAAACCCTCGAAGAAAAAAGTGACAAAATTGATTATGACTAGGGTCGCCCCTAGTCCAAAATTGAAAATTGATTTTCTATTGTGTACTTTGGTCAAAAAAATTTTTCGGATGTTTTATTTGAATTGTTATAATTCTGACATAAATCACATACCAATATTCCTTTTTGTAATGCATAGCTTAAAAAAAACGAAATCTAAAATTTCAACTACCCCATCTGAATTTTGTTCATACTCTTCACTGTGGAAACCAAAAAACAAATTTTTTATCTTAAAACACTTGACAAAATAGCGACATAATTCAGGATTAATTACTTTTTAATAATATTTTAACATTTACGAGAAAATGTGGTTCAAATAAGTGTGAAGTATGGCCGAGATTTGGACCAAAATCAGCTATACTGGTTCATAGTGTTCCCGAGGGTGACAAAATTCAAACTAAGTGTTTTTGTAGCTGACATAATTATAACATAAATTAGGTATAACTTTTGAACTGTGTCGATATGTGTCTCGGCCGTACTTCACGTTCACCCTTCAAACTTATGCTGAGCAAATCTTGGTCTATCCATAAGACTTTTGATGGTACGGTGTGAATATATCCGCATTGGGTTTTAACCCGATACACTAGTTTGGGCTTGGTGTAGATTCATCTGCATTTTCTGACATGAAATAGAAATTGAAGTTTCTGATAGAGGGTCGTTCATAAATTACGTCTAATATTAAGGAGGAGGGTCTGGATATTTTTAAAAGGTTTCAAAGAAAATAAACTTTTCTTGATACAAACTCTCTGAAGGAGGGGGGTCAAAAATCTCGTTATTTGATGGATGTCATTTATAAACAGCCCCTAAGCGGTCTGTTCACTTATTACGTTCGCTTTTTAGAGAAGAGAGGTCTAGATTTTTGTAGCAACTCAAACAAAATAAATTTGTAACAAGCGGGGGAGGGGGGTCTAAAAAGTAGAATTTTTGCGTAACGTATTAAGTGAACAGCCCCTAATAGGGCTACTTCTCCAAAACTCATTCATCATTTAAAGTAGATCATCCTCATTAAAACTTGAGTTAATTGGTAAACTTGATATGAAGAATAAATTGTAAATTGCTTTCCTAATATCCTTCATTCGATAAGCGTAGATTAATGGATTGATTGCTGAGCTTAGATGCAAAAAGCTGATTGCAAAGTTCACTATGTAAACTTGAATGCAGTCCTTACAAAAAATTGACAGCAAATATATAATTTGAAGTGGAATCCATGTTATGCAAAAGACAAGCACAATTATTGAGATGCTGATTGTTGCTCTGACTTCCTTATCAATTGACTTTTGATCTACTTGCTTTCGCAGAAGATTCGAGTTGTTTCGCACGATTTTTTTTTGTGCCTGAGAATTAAAGAACAATTGTTAATGATTTGATAACAGATTAGACTAAATTTGGGACTTGATTCTCCGATAAACCTTAGGAAAGTGTTTTTTAAACTTTTCGTACACATTTAGGAAACTTCCAGAAGCTTCAAAAGATGAGAAAATACTTTTTTTTCATTTTAATTGCACTTTATTGCATGGGGAAAATAACATATATGAAATTACTAATCCAAAAACATTCATCATCCTTAATTAAGGAAGGTTAATAATATTCAATTTTTGAAACAAGATCTGGGGTCTATCACAGGTCTATCAGGAAAAGGATGGGGTTAAAATTCTTTTTAATAAAGGACGTTATTTATGAACGACCCCTTACCTGTTCATTAATCAACTTGTAAATTTTGAAGTACACAAATCCAATGATAATCATAGGAATTACCACAACAATAATAAATCTAAAAATTAAGTATTCCCATCTTAAAATGTCTTGGATATAACAAGTTTTAGATTCTTCATTATAGAAATATAAAGGCACAGTTCCGATTGAGATAGCAATAATCCAGCACATTCCAATTTCAATTAATATTATTATCTTTGGTTCTTGTTGTGACTTTGGAACCCTTATCGACTATAAAGAATCATTAATTAGACATTTTTAAATTAGTTTCATGATCCTTACCAGAACTTTAAGTCGCTTGATTGAGATTAACACAAGACTGAATACAGAAATGTTTGCAAAAGTCACTAGAATTGACATCTTAGCTAGGCATAATGGCAGATAGCATAAATGTTTTGTATATGGATGATCGGAAGTGATCTGAAAAGGTTGAGAATTAATAATTTAAGGATCTAAGAACTTTTTAAATGCCTCTGCTAGAAATGACTATGTATGAACCATAGTAAGGCGTACTCTCAATCAATCCATTAAATATTGTATAAATCATAATTTACCATATAAATAGGAATAGAGACAAGTCCAACACCTAAATCACCAAGTGCTAATGATAAAATATAATAATTTATATCTCGTCTCAGTCTTTGCTCTCGTAGGAACACTAAAAGCACTAGAAGATTTCCAATAATTGCAATCAAAGCTATAAATAATTCAAATGACACGTGTGAGATGTTTAAATAAGTCCAATCCTTTCCATCGAATATTTTAAAGGAGGAACTACAAACACTAATGCTATCAGACATTATTCTATGAGATTCCAACTCAAACTGCACATATTTAAGTTGTAAGACATTGTCGTAAAAATATGTGTGCAATTTATTTAACCCGAGCAGTTTATGACTTACGTTTAGCATTTTGGAAGTCGGAAGCGAATAAACATACATTTTAGGCTTTCGGAATCAGCTTGATCTCAACCTTGACTGAACAAATGAGACACATAGCTCGAGATCTTAGTTTCCAATCAACTATGACAAGACACCGATCGAGCAATCAACAACTCGGTTATAATTTTATTAAAATAATGTAAGTATTAAAAATGTATTATATTAAAATACGTGCTGGATTGTTTTAAGCAATCATAAAAAAGTGATCCAATTTCTAAAAATAAAAATATGATTGGTCATAAAATGACATATTTTATCTCCATATCGCTGCATTCAACTAAGATTATTGAATAATTCCACTGTGTTGAGATAAGAATTTATTGTGTCATCTTTTGGAACTGTTACAACATTCCTGAAAATTAAAGTAATAGATAAATTACCTCAAATAAAACAGTTGATTTTTAAAAACATTTGTGAGGTTCTGAAACATTTTTCAAAATAACGGTTTATTAAATTTTGAAATACAAAACCGTTCAACAGTTCTTCTTCTTCTTTATCTTTATTAAGGTCCTTTTTTAATTAAATTTTAAGACCATTTTCAAATCCGATTTTTTTAACATATTTTTATATTAAGTTTTCGAACTACAGAACAGGACATTATGTGTATCAGTGTTATATGTAATCGTATAAGTTGATTTCTTTTAAGAAGTTTATGACTTTATCTGTTTCGACTTTTTCGTCTAGTTCAAGTGATTTGTAATTTATGTTAAATTTGGTAGTAGCTGTTTGATTATTTGTGCACTCAAAAATATGTTTAATTGTAAGGAGTTCATTGCATGTACATTTTGGGGGTAGGGATTTTTCTAATAGGTGAACGTGTGTTAGATTTGTATGTCCGATTCTAAGTCTTGTTAGTACTGTTTGGTCTTTTCTGTTATAAGTGTTAATGTTTGTCCATTTGTCAATGGTTTTTTTAATGTTACCCAATTTGTTTCCTTTTCTGATTTCCTCTTCCCACGTTCAACAGTTTTGAAGTTAGTATTTTGTCAACTGTTGTAGGGTTTTGAAATTTAAATTTCAACTGACCGTTATTTTTGAAGAATGTTTCAGAACCTGTCAAATGTTTCCAAAATTACACTAGCTAAATTTCAGGAGCCTCAAGCTAAAGGCTAACATATCAGTCGTGTGAATATAAACTTGTTTTCATTTGTTGGTTTTTCGCTGAGCATTATAAATATATAACCATGAATAATTTGCAGCATAAAAATTAAAATTTCAATAAAAATTATTCATGTTCGGCAAAAAAAATGCAAATAAGGAACGACAACAAATGAGTTATAAGCATCAATGTAGCAGATGAGAGATTCACCGACTGCGATAAACAACATCAATGCAATGTATCAAGTCCCAAAATATCGAATGTTGTCTTTTGTGCCTTGATTAAAAGCCTCGCGCCTTCGTTTCTCACAGAAGCTGTTACTTCTTGCTCCTTTTTATGCACATTTTCGCAGCAATTTCGATTTGTTTGTTTTTTATGTCTGAGACTTGAAATTATGTTCTGCATAATCACTAATGTAAATTATAGCTGTGCATGACATCGTGTCTGTAATTTAGAATTTACAATAAATAAGAATCTTGGTTCGGGTTTTTAGCTGATGATCAAAATGTTTATCATATTTTTTTTTATTTTCAAAAATTATTACAATTTATTTATTTCGTCATAAATTGTTTCAACAATTAAAATAGAAAAACAATCGACACTAAATTTTCTTCATCCTTTTTGAGACACAATTAAAATTTATTTTCAATTTCGTGTATTAAAAAGTACATTAAGCCAATTTTATCTCAAACATTCACATAATTCTGTCTATTGATCAGTCTCACATCACTTAAATGATTAATTTCTTCACTGGGTTTTAACATTTGATTCCTTTTTATAATTAATCATTAACTTTCCACTACATTGAGTGCTGGTTTATGATGTATTTGGTAAATTTGTTGGTAGCTATGCTGTTTTCGTCTTTGAAATATTTAACGGATTTTTGGATTTTGAAATTTTAACGAATTTTAGGAATTTGGAATTAAGCGGTTTTGTCAAATTTGAATCAAGTTCCCAAATCGATTTTTAATCTGTGGATTAATTTTTAATAATGTAAGTTTGAAGCCAAACTCAATAAATCAAGCGACCGTTAACATTTTCAAATTTATGCTCAATCAGCTACCAATATTCATCATAAACCACTCTAGTTTATCTGTTTCTTACCAAATACACATCAAACATTTAAATTTCTTCTTTTGTTGTATAATTTAGCTATAAAATATCATCACAATTAGACAGAAACAAATTCTTTCTTTCTTCATCATTTTCACTATCTGGTCCTATAAAAAATTCATTACATTCATTGTGTTTCGTTGAAATGAGGAAAAACATTTTCCATTTTATTAAAACTTATTAATTTGTGAAAACAATTGAAATTGCATCTTTTTGTGTGTTTAATGCGAAGGAAAAGATAATTAACAATTTTTTTTTCGTCTCATTGCGCCTCAAAGATTAATTTTAAAGTCGTGTGGAAACTAGTTTGTTTTCTGTTTCTTCGTCTAGTTTTCTAAACTAGGTTTATAAGCGTTTTAAAGATCAACATTTTCTTCAATTTTTCTTTTCTGTTAAGCTAATTAAAAATGATTTTTTTTCCATTATGTGAGTATTGTCGTTTGACATCATTTTCTTTTTAGTGCAATTTTCATAACTATTTATAATTTTTTAATTTTTTTTTGGCGCACAATCAATAACAATCAACATTTAAATTAATAAACTTACAATCAAGTTAGAAAAAAAAGAAAGAAAAACACAAAAAGAGTATGTGGCCTTAACAATTATAACAAAAATGTGTTTAATTTAATTAATAAAGTACTGTGTTCAAACAATTTTATCTTCCGTTCTGTGAAGCACAATTAGCGGTTTTTTAATTTTCAAAAACAATATATATGACTTGAAGTTGACTACGTTACAAGTAACGGTACGACTTAAAGTTGACTACAATTTTTTGAATCTCAAAAATACCTTAATAAGTGCCTCACATTCACTAGGACTCTTAATTCGAGTTATTTTCGTGTCACATAAATAATAATAATAATAATAATATTAATCAACTTCTCAGAACCATTATATCATCATAAAAATAGTATTCAATCAAAAAGGAATGTATTTTTTCGTCATATAGTCAAAAGAATAGGGATAGAGCGCCATGCTCCGGCATCAAATGTGTTTAAATATAGCTAGTTTCAAGCATTACCCGCTTTAACTGTTGTAGAGAGCAAAAAAATAGTACAGGTATAGAGAAGAGCTTAGTTGATGGCTTGTTCCGTCATTTGTCGACACAATGATTCTAAGCGACTATTAATATCCATTGTTGCTGATGATTTAGGCGCTAGTGACGGAGTCATACTCAGCATATTTGGACTAATGCTCTTACCTTGCTCATTACTGTCAACTAACGATGACATGGACGAATTGACTCCACAACTATTACGTCGAAATTGTTGTTGTTGCTGAACTGGAAATGGCATGAGACTATTTAATGAATTACGATGATAAGCATTACTATTTTGTTGTGGAATTTGCGGTTGCTGATTGAACTGAATGTGATGCTGTTGCTGCATAAGCGTAAATTGATTTAACTTCTCGCGACTCGCAGAGTGCTGAAAGTTGCTCAAATTTGTTGCACTTTGTTGCTGTTGTGGTGTATTTCCAAAGCTTGGATACGATAAGCTCTTGTTACTCCCTACACTTTGATTTGGTTGATACTGTTGAATATTATAGTACGGCATTGAGTTCTTACGATTCTTCTGACTATCAGAAAGACTTTGATTCATCTTATTCTTCGTCCAACTGAAACAAGTTATGAAAAATTGATTTAGAACACAAAATTTTGAGGCACGAATAGATATAGACTCTTACCGCATTTTCATGCTGTTTCCTTTGTTATTATTAGTACTATTGCCATTATACAACTTATTAGCAAACATCATTTTAATGCGTTGCAATTTATATTTGTACTCTTTTAAGCGAATTGCTTGTTGAAGAAATGCTTCGTGATGTAATGCCTTATCGAGAACCCACATAAACACATTTACTGATTCTTCGTCCGCACTAGATAGGTACTTTATGCTCTGCATAATTTGAAATGCTAAAGAGAAAGATATAATTTTAAAACGGTTTTCAAAATTCAAATTTTAACAGACTTTGAGAATTCAAATCGATTCCCATCTTCCAAAAGATCGTTAAAAGTATAGTCAACTTACCACAATCTAATACTCGCATTACATTAGTGGCGATATCTTCCTCGCAAGGAACTGAGTTAATAGGCTTCATAGGAGTCAAAATAATGTTTGTCATCTCATCCAATCCAACTTTTAAAGGCTTAGTTCCGTCCATCAATTCCTTTTCGATTTGTTTCAATTGAGCAGCACGTTCCGACAATTTTTGAATGCATAGCACTAACTTATGACGAGCTCCTTTTGTGACACCCAAATTCTCTAAATATTCTTCAGTCATATCTAGCATATGATCATATGTCATGTTAGTAAAGAGCCACAAATACTTATGAAGTCGTAAGCTTTTAAGCCAAACTGCAATGTTTCCCATGCCAATTTGATGGACATTATTGTTCATTTGCATCTGTACTAATTTATCTAAGCGCGTTTCTGAGCCGCATGTCATTAAAGCATTACGAGATGATTCCATTGATAATGAAAAGCTTCTTGGTTTTTGTAGATTAGCCAAGTTTTCAGCCGATGATGAAGTAAAGTCGCAACTTGCCGTTGGCGTTGTCAAACTATTAGAACGTCTAGTCTTAATTGTATTATTACCATCATCGCTAAATCCGTCACTTAATGCGCCATATCCATAAACATCATTAAAAAGACGATCATTGAAGAAATTTGGTACAGTAAGAAAGTCATTCGTTGTACTGCTGCTGTTGCTATTTGGTGTCGGAACAGTCACTGTTAATGAATTAATCTTTCCATCCATGAAATCGTTGTCAAACTCGACATCAGTGCCATTCTTCGAGAACGATAAATGATGTTCATCATTTGAGTCAAAAATTGATGTTGCTGTATTGTTACTCGCACTGCTACTGGATGTTTTTGAAGTTTTTCCACTTGAATTTAGACTGATGCTTTGACTAGCAGTGTTGTTTCCAATGGGCGTTGGATATTTGGCTTGATTGAGATCATCACAAAAGTCTTGTGCGACTTGAAAGTTTCGTAAATCCCAGAATTCTTGGTCGCTTTTCTTCGACGATGTCCTAAAGATCTCTGTATTATTATTATTATTATTATTATTGTTGTTATTATTCGTCTGTATTTGTGGAATTGTTGTTGGCCAAGTTGTAGAGGATTGCGAGCTTGATGACGAAACACTTGACATTGAAGATGTCGTTGACATAAATGACGATGGATTCTCGCATGAGAAGATATTGTAATTACTGCCTCCAATACTGTTCAATGAGTAGCCCATTGACATGTGTTCCTGTACTTTCTGAAGGTATAGATGCAATGGCCTAAAATTAGATACAGAACATATTAACGGTAAGTACAATTTTGAAATTTTTATAGTTCCTACCCCCCCCCCCCCCCCCTGTTACGCAATAAGTGAGACTCCTTAATAAGCACATGATTTTCTGATTACTTACTTTCTGTCCTCATTTTTAATGCCAGGATGAATAAGGAGGTACGAGAGGAGTTGTTGAACCAATTCAATTGAAAGGTTTTGTTTAGTAGAGTCCTCAATGAGAATGGGAAGGAATTGAATGTAGACTTTTTTGCCTTCGTCATTATTTGGTCTCAGCAATGGCAAGTACAAGAGTAAATCCTGCACTATCTCTTCCTTAGTAGTATATTTTGAAACGAGATCATGTTCTAAGCTTTTAATGCTGTCACTACAACTAAATTCTTGTTCACTGTTTGAGTCGATATTATCACTGCTCGATGTGAAAATTGTAAGCGAATTATATTTGTGAATTAATTTATTCAAAAATGATGGTGAATTTGCTGCTTCCTCGAGCAAGACTAATTGCTGAGGCGTTGTAACAATCTGTTTTAGATGATGCTCAATTGAATGTATCAGAAATTTGAGATTTGAGAATGGTAATCTTTTAAATAATGTATAAATAACGACAGTACGTTCACAATCATTCCATTGCTCATAGATATTCGATACTTGCTGTACTTGTTCATAAAATAATGTATTTATTGATGTATTTTCACTGGAATTTGCAGAGTATTTCATTTTTGCTGTGTTGTGTATATGCTGGATAACTTTATAATTTTTTTTTTTGTGTTTAAAATTGTCTGATAAAATTATCACTAATCAATATATTTAAAATTTAAAGCAAAAATGGCAAATTCCAAAACTTTTCGTCTTAAAATATCCTTTTTGTAAGAGAATCTGCAATTAAAACAAATTGGGTTAAGGATTAAACAATAGATACAATTAGAGCATGTCATCAAAACAATTGAGAACAATGGATGAATAGAATTGCGCCAAAAAAATCTATTGTTTTAAGATCCAGAACATCCAGTTAATCAAATTGATTGAAAAAATGAAATCGCCATTAAACTTTTGCGCGTTTCTTCTTAATTATTGCATTTAAATGCTGTTCTTCATACTCACCTTATGTAATATCGATGTTGTTAAATTAATCAAGTACTTTTATAAACCTTACATACTTAATAATATGAGCTAACGTCAAATATCTTTCGTTTAATGACAGAGTGTTCTAATTTAGATGCAAGACAAATTGAGTGCGTTCAGAAAATAATACAAATACACTCAAGCTGTTTTTAAATTCAAATTTTTGGCAGTTAAAAACCGTTAACAAATGTTTTAGTTTAATATGAAAATTTTATTGATCAATCAGTATTTACATTACATTAATTAATAAAAACCCACCACCAAAAATTATTGAAAAAAATGTAAATTATCTTATTACGCAAACTTATATGATTGTAAAGTATAAAATGCAGTCTTAATTTATGTAAAAAAAAGTATATGTACAAATTCATTCGATTATGGATGCCTTACAGTTATTACTTACTTAAAAACTATCTTTCTTTAAATTAATGTGCTAAATCAAAAATTCAGTGTCCATAAAATGCAATATCAAAGAATTTAATGTCAAAATGCTTCATCATTCTCACAAGAAATTCGTATTTATGGACGCCAAATACACATTAATATAAAGATCCTAAACTTAAAATTTCTAATTGAATCATGCTTAATTTTATTATTCCTAAATGTCTAGTCAATTTGTGATCGATTTGTAACATATGATGAGTCAAAGAATGAATTTTCACTTTTACGATGTCTCAGCTTCGTGCATGTCACAAAAAGTGACCCCGCTAAAATACAAAGCAGCATGGAGCACATTGCTGTCAATGCAGACAAAACTGATGTCTTTAAGCAAGTTTCTGTTGGATCTTTTCTCACAACTGACTCTTCTCGAACAGCACCGTCATCTTCGTCTTGCAAAACTCGAATCGATTGAAATAAACTAATGTTGTCTGATAATGTCGAATTGGCCTTTTCTGTTTGAACCTCACGCTTAGTTACTCCCTTCAAGTTCCTCCAATGACACGGCTGACTCTGCAAATTAATTAAGATTTAAGTCATTATGTCAAACAAACAGAGAGAATAAGAACTTACAGGGCATCTTCCATGACACATTCTAACATCACATTCAATATAAAGTGCTGGCGATCCAGTAAACCTAAATGTCTTCATATATGCATAAACTTGTGTCTCGAAAATTCCACTGTCAGACCATGATCCTCTGAATCTTGAAATTAATTTATCATCGACTGGACATCCAAATTCGTCGATCAATTGAATTCTTTTGTTTGCTCCGTTGTGAGCATAGCTGTAAATGTTAGGAATTGGATATAAGTTTCTAAGCTAATTGTTGCGGGATTTCTTTAAAACTTACCAATCATTAACGACAATATCGAATCCATCTGAGAATAGAATTAAATTTGTCTTAAAATCTAATAGATTGTTTTAAGATTTAAATAAATTACCATATTTGCTGCGCATGTAAATGATCAATGTTAAAGGATCTCCAACTCTTACAGGTCCTATAAATTACAATAAATTAGATTTGAATTGTGTTAACGAGTATTAAATAGTCAAAGACATCGCATACCACCAACTCTCGTTCCTGATGTTCCATATCCATTCCGTATTTCCATATAGCATTCTGGAGGACTCAGTGTGAAAACCACGGGATTTCCAGTTGCCACTCTAAGTAATATAAAAGATATTTAATAAATAATTGGATCAAATAGTGAAGCTTTAATAGGAATTGACCCTATTCAACACTGCTCATGATCCGAAGCGTATCTAATCATTATGAAGATCGTCTCCTAACTTCCATTTGATTAATCAAATAGAACAGAAAGCTTAAATTCACAATCTGATGTTTCGTCATAAAAATCTTAAATCTTAATCAACAACAAACACTTGAAAATACCGTTCTGTGCTCAAAGCATGTCATTTGCATGTTAGAGAACTTTTCGCAAGATTGTAGTGCTAAATAATTTGCATAATAATATACACTTACTCAACATCCAAAAACGGGAATGTCACCGTTTTCCAAAAATCATATCCGTATTCGCATGTGACTTTAAAATGTTCATCAAATTCCTCTTCAATTAATGGATTATACTGAACTGTCACTGTATTCCACATGAAATTTTTCTGTAATTGAATTTACAACAATTAATCATCATGTCTTGACAAATTATTTGCAAACAATTTAATGTCCATTAAGGCCAGAATCAGACAATGAATATCTTACCGTTGGATTCTTCCGAGAATCTTCATGTAAACTGTTCTTTCCGAGAGTTCCACAGCGATTTAATTGAATGTAAAATTCATAATAGTCTCTTCCAGTCCCGTTGATGTACATGCAGTCAGGATCATAAGCATAGCCTATTGATACACAAAATAAATATTTGGTTCCAAACTGAATAACAAACTGTAAGTACCTGATGAATAGAGTAACCCGTTAAAAGTTCCATTGAATCCAATTCTAATTTTCATATAGTCATCTTGACATTCAGCTTCAATGTCTGTAAAAATTAATAAAATAATCAATAAATTCTAGAATATTTTATAATTCTAAATTGGACATACGTTGAACTTTTGTATTATTATATCGATATCGTCGATTGTAGTCTCTATCCCACAGTTCTGGTCTCCAAGCTTCTAAGTCAGCTCCAGCATAAAGATGCGGCGGTAACACAGCAGGTCCACGTAATGGATTTAACGGAACATAGCCATTCGGATCAGAAACATAAACAACCTATCAAATAGACATGGATAACATGACATGTGAGAAAAATTGTGAAAACTATGTAAGCGTAATGCTGTTGCTGCTCATAAAAAAGAGAAAAGAACCGCTCAAGGAAGTTAGCAATTTTTTTATTTTTGAGCATTTATAACATTGAACTAAATAAAAGCCGTGGAAAAGAGAGTTTATCAAATTAACAAACAGTTAAAACAAACATACGAAAATATAATAATTGAAATACGGACCCAGAAACGAAATGAAACGCTCAACAACTGAATTGTTATGTAATTTCTTCGGTCAGTTCAGTTAACGAGAAGAAAACAAAACAGCAACAAATAAAAATATGAAAAATTGCTCCAAAGAAAATTTATGCGAACCAAAAAGATTGTTACATTTCACGCTGTTAATTTATGCTTACAATGCGACCTTGACGAAGACTTTTCATTCCGAAAATTAGACAGCTTTTCAGAGATGTATGAAATTTTTCGGATATAAATAAAACAAACTTCATCATAAATCTTTGACATGAGTTGAGAAATTTTAATGAAATTTAAACTTATTAATTTTCTAAATGCTCATCTTCGCATGCATGCGAATGGATCATGTGTGAAATCGCATGATTAATTTGATATGATATGAGCCGGACCATGACTGAATTCTTTAAATTAATTGCTTCGGAATTTTTGATGATTGAATTTTTAATAGCTGGCATAGATGGGTATTAGCTTTTCTTAAAGGTTTAGCATTTTAGCAGATTTGTGGATTTTGAGATTAATGCTTCAAAGTTTTCAGGATGAGCTGCTCAATTTTATATTCTTATTTATATTTTATTTGTATTCTGAATTATTTCTATTTATCTGAGGTTTGAATTTACACGAATAAACATTTTTTGGAATAGTTTCTTTAAAAAGAATGGTTCGAAGCATCAAACTCAACTTTGATAAGAGGATTGAAGTAGGAAATCAAATCAAACACATTGTGAATTTTTCTGCTCCAAATTGTTTCCTTACAAATTTCCATCAACCTACAGACAGATCCATTCCCATAAAAAAAAATTCAAATCAATGCACCCGTCTTAGTTACAAATTTCATTTTCAAACAAAAAATCTTTTTATGAATAAATTTTTCATGTCTCAAGAATTCTGCCTTAATGTAACAGAGAGTAAAGAATAAGCATTATAATAATGATGGTCCGTCATACTCTGATGATTCTACTCTTGAAGACACAGTTTTATATTCCATGATGCACCACAATATAAATCTACAACAATGAAACTGTTCTTTTACTGATCCAACATTACTTCTTTTTTTCGTGTCTCTTTTTCTTGTCGCGACAAACGTTTGTGAATTATAAAATTATATATTAACCGCCATCTGTGCGAATAACGTATGCAAATTAAACGCAGAAAGTAATAAAGTTATTAACATTGCATATCTAGCATTAAATATGTTGCATGTTTTAATTACACATAAACACATATTATTCTAACGAAGATCATTGTAATTAGGTTAAAGACATCAATTAATCTCTAAACGGCACATTCATTTAAATTGCAAAGAACCCTGTGTCTTAATTCCGCTCAAAAGATTCTAATTAATTCATTCTGTATCTTATTTTTATGTTGCAAATTACATAAAAACAATAAAAGATTGTGATCTTATGTTTCAGCCACTAAATGCTAGTCCGACAAATACTTTTGTAACACAGAAGCAATTGAAAAATAGACTTTGATACGATCTCACGATGGAGATTCCTTCTCACAAAACTAACGCACAAATTCATTGTTTTAATTGAATTAACCATCAAAAGTGTCGACCTCGTATGCGGTCTGCTCGTAATTCGATAGATATTTTGTTGTAGACCCAAAAGTAAAGCAACATATGCTTCGTCTTCACTTAAGTTTATTTTTATTTTATTTTTTCGTAAAGCACCAACGAAGGTCTCTGCTTCATCGATTGGAAAGATAAAGATAGTTTCTATTGTATTTCTTTACGTAATATGTGCTTCACATTATATGAATGTATCGAGTATATACCACTGAAGTACGTATTTAATGTGTGCTATTCTGTCAAATTGTGCAACACTTTCTAATGACTTAGTTTCTTGACTCTGAAAAATTAATGAAAAACCACCGGATGTCCTTGCATGTGTAGAACCAACAATGGTGTCATAAAATTAAATTAATTATTGTCTTCACGCTTACTTGCTGATCAGATCCTTCTTGATTAAGTGCTTCACGTGAGCTGTTGACATTTTGTACATTTCCCGCATGAGCGTTTTTCTTTACTTTTGCCGTTGTTGATGTTGTGTCTCCAGCATGTGAGCTACCACGTTTCTTAACTTTTGGACTTGGCGAAACTGAAGGAACATATTTATGACGTGACGTTGAGGAGGACATACTACTTGTACTGCTCGTACTTGTTAATGTATTATTTGCTATTACACTCGATAAAGTCGATGACGATGATTCTGTTGACTGTGAATAACATGATGAAGTAATAATCTGC